TCTTATGTTATCTTGTCTTATCTTGTCTTATGTTATCTTGTCTTATCTTGTCTTATGTTATATTGTCTTATGTTATCTTGTCTTATCTTGTCTTATGTTATCTTGTCTTATCTTGTCTTATGTTATATTGTCTTATGTTATCTTGTCTTATCTTGTCTTATGTTATCTTGTCTTATGTTATCCTTTCTTATGTTATTTTGTCTTATGTTATCTTGTCTTATGTTATCTTGTCTTATGTTATCTTGTCTTATGTTACCTTGTCTTATGTTATTTTGTCTTATGTTATCTTGTCTTATGTTATCTTGTCTTATGTTACCTTGTCTTATGTTATTTTGTCTTATGTTATCTTGTCTTATGTTATCTTGTCTTATGTTATCTTGTCTTATCTTGTCTTATGTTATCTTGTCTTATCTTGTCTTATGTTATATTGTCTTATGTTATCTTGTCTTATCTTGTCTTATGTTATCTTGTCTTATGTTATCTTGTCTTATGTTATTTTGTCTTATGTTATCTTGTCTTATGTTATCTTGTCTTATGTTACCTTGTCCTTTGTTATCTTGTCTTATGTTATGTTGTCTTATGTTATCTTGTCGTATGTTATCTTGTCTTGTGCTATCTTGTCTTATGTTATTCTGTCTTATCTCGTCTAATGTTATCTTGTCTTATGTTATCTTCACTTACCTTATCCTGTCGTATGTTATCTTGTCTATTGTTGTCTTATGCTATCCTGTCTTATTTATTATCTTGTGTCATCTTGTCTTGTGTTATCTTGTCTAACGATATATTGTCTCATCTTGCCTTATGTTTTCTTGTCTTTTCTTGTCTCACGTTATCCTGTCTTATCTTGTCTTATGTTGTCTTGTCTTATGTTATTTTGTCTTGTCTTGTCTCATGTTATCCTGTCTTATCTTGTCTTATGTCATCTTCTTGTCTCATGTATTATCCTGTCTTATCTTGTCTTATGTTATCTTGTCTTATCTTGTCTTAACCCTTCCAGCCCCAACCATTTTTGTGCAACCCCTTATCCCAGTCCCAATCAATACGGCAGCATTTCAGAAAAAGAGGTTTGCATTCTTAAAAGTGATGTAGTATCTTTGTAATGAGGTTTAGATAATAGCTTATAACAATGTTTAAGAGTAGATAAACAATTTTATGAAAATGAAAGTTTAATTAAGTTCGCTAATTTCGAAAAATAAGCAAATTGGGTAACTGAGAATTTACACTCTTGGGACTGCGGGAGGTACAAGCACTGCTGAAAATATACGCCCATGGTGCTGGAAGGGTTAATGTTATATTGTCTTTGTTATCTTGTCGTGTGTATTATCTAACGCTGTCTTCTCGTATGTTATCTCGTCTTTTGCCATCTTGTTTACTGTTATCTTGTCTTATATTGTCTTATGTTATCTTGTCTTATATTATTATCCTTTCTTATTATGTTTTATGTTATCTTGTCTTGTGTTATCTTGTAATATGTTATTGTTATCTTGTAATATGTTATCTTGTCTTATTTATTATCTTATGTTGTCTTCTTTTGTCTTATTTTAAATTTTGATATTTTATTGATTTGTTCATTTTATTTTTTACTTTGCCCCAACAATTTGGAACTTCCTTCCAAAAATGAAATGCGTATTATAATATCGGGG